CTTGATGGGAGGGTACGATATTAATGACGGCCAGTATGATGACGACTATACACCAGCCAAACGTGATGCAGTGGTAGATCTGGAGCCAGTCGTAGTAATGGGTGGCAAAGTGTTTGTAGTCGGCCAGGGTGGTCAACCTCGTGGACAACCACTTCATGTCCTCCTGCGACACGATTGGCGTTTGACACACTTTCCGGTTCAGTAGCACATATGATGAGGCAATGGCGCACTGGATGTATGATGGGAGTACAGCATAAAAGTATATTTTTAGTCTATATTTGTATTAATGTAGTATATTTTGCTCGAAAATATAAGGCATTCCCTTCGCGATCAATATTAATGATTGTGATATTCATTTAAATTTTTAATATACTTTATAACTAAATATAGTACAGTATAGCCATAACTCTTGTATACACTTATAATTGGTTTTTTTGGTAAACTAATATCATTTTCTATACATAACTCCAAAATGAATGCACATTTTTAATCTAACCAGTGACAGATATAAATAATAAATATGGATATCAAGTTAGCAAATAATTTGATACATTGGTTCACACCATACACCGGGTGTTGTACACAAGAATTTAGCCTAAAATTTATGATACAATTAATAAGACTGTCTATTCCTATACACAAAGTTATGATACAAAGTAATACATGAAATGCGATACTTTTTCTCGCCTTAACTCTCTGTTATAGTTAGCGATATATTTGTGTGTAATATCATAAAACAGCACAATTTTGGTGATAATCTTCAGTGAAAAGACTTACGGCAGCCAAACATCCGACACATCGATGAATCCAATAATTCTTACCAAAACTCGATGGCATTACACGACGATCTGAGACCTTAATGTAGATATTGCGGAGGTTTTTGTCTCTCTCAGCACTTATGAGATATGGATTTTGGGAACACAAACTAAAACCATTAATCGGAAAAATAATTATTAATGAAAATGCAAAACTAATAACTCATTCATTCGCACCATTTATGGCTGAAAAGCAACAAAAACAAAAACTTTTATTATTATTATCGATGAATGAATGGCACGAATAGGCCATAAAAGTTGAGATCATTTTCGAGAGAGAAAATACACACAAATTCTGGAGACTTCAGCGACTAAGTCGGCACTCGATTCCGTAAAACTACAGAATATTCTCGCTTTTCTCGTGAGTTGAACAGCGATTCTCTGAGCAGTCTCTCTATGGTGTGTAGGAATGGGAGCACTCATTGCCAGCCAACACATACACAGCACTGGTATGTCTCTCATCTCCATCTCATCCCTGCAATTGTGTCCAAACGGCTCAGCCTTTACTTCACATCATATCATAGAAACCAAACTTTTTTTTGTCTCTTTTTTCCTTTTGATCCCTCACTTGAAGTCTCTCTCTCTCTCTCTCTCTCTCTCTGGTGTCGTTTTCTATCGTTTGAATGCAAATTGTATTTCTTTTCATGAACTTCTCTCTCCCTTTCACAACAAAATCAGTGAATTGTATTCAGAGTTGCATTTATTTCGCTGAGAAATCTCTTCAACGAAAAAAATCATTCATTCATTTCTAGCGATACTTTCGGTGTTTTGTTTTTGAAGGGATTTTTTGTCACTGAAATGTCACCGAAAATAAAGAAAGATTATTTACACATATATGTAGTGTTTATAAAACAAAATAAGAGAGAGAGAGAGAGAGAGAGAGAGAGAGAGAGAGAGAGATCTATAATAAATATTTCAAATATGTATGGCTCATTTAGACAACTATTGTTTTGATTGCAAAACTAATTGACAATTTCTTTTGCCCATCAAATAAATTAAACAAACTTTCACTTTAAATGAGATCTCAAACTACAGTCTTATAGTCGAGAGAGAAAAAGTTCACTGATTTTTGCAGATAAGCGCAAATATATAGCTGCAAAATGTCTGTATATATATTTGCTCTCATTATTCAGCAGTGTTTGTAAAATCGAAAAATCTTTTTAAATCTAATTTTTGCTTTTTTATTCTCAAAGGAAAAAATGAAAATCCTGTATATATAATATTTATTCACACACACATATTATACATAAAACACACTGCGATTACTATAATATAATGTATAATTTCTATTTGCATTAATCTCTCGGCGAAAGTGTTATTAGAGATAAGATTTATTTTTCTAATAAAATTTTAATGGCTTTTCCACTTGTAGTTAAAGTTTGAGTAAAAAACCATAATTTTGTTGAAAATAAATTATATATTCTGTTGACTCGCTATTTGTTTGTTAGTATTTATAGATAATTAAAAAAATTTGAGCTCAAAATTGGTGTCTAATATAAATACAATTATTTTCTTAATACGTGTTGTTATTATACACGAAAATCACAGATCGGAAGGAAATGTGATTAAAGTTATGATTTATAGTCAAGACTTGGCTTTCAATTAAATGTTTGCCCAGAAAATGCATATACAGTTTGATTTATAATGTATTCAAATGCAAAATCTATACCACTTTATGACATTCATCTAGATATGAGAGACAATCTCTATAGTGTAGCCATTCATTCAAATAGTAATATAAAAATATATATAATATAATGTATTATATAAGCGAAAGTGATTTCAATAGATCTGCAAATCATAAATAATACAGAATTTGAAATGAATTTTTTTATTAAAATACTTTTCTTAGAAATCGCTTTTTAAAATGAGCCAGTCCTCGATTACTATAATATAATGTATAATTTCTATTTGCATTAATCTCTCGGCGAAAGTGTTATTAGAGATAAGATTTATTTTTCTAATAAAATTTTAATGGCTTTTCCACTTGTAGTTAAAGTTTGAGTAAAAAACCATAATTTTGTTGAAAATAAATTATATATTCTGTTGACTCGCTATTTGTTTGTTAGTATTTATAGATAATTTAAAAAATTTGAGCTCAAAATTGGTGTCTAATATAAATACAATTATTTTCTTAATACGTGTTGTTATTATACATGAAAATCACAGATCGGAAGGAAATGCGATTAAAGCTATGATTTATAGTCAGACTTGGCTTTCAATTAAATGTTTGCCCAGAAAATGCATATACAGTTTGATTTATAATGTATTCAAATGCAAAATCTATACCACTTTATGACATTCATCTAGATATGGGAGACAATCTCTATAGTGTAGCCATTCATTCAAATAGTAATATAAAAATATTATATTACATAATATATTCGCTTTCACTAAAGTTATCTAGACGTTTAGTATTTATTATGTCTTAAACTTTACTTAAAAAAATAATTTTATGAAAAGAATCTTTAGCGAAAAATTTTACTCGGTCAGGATTATTTGTATAATATTTTCTATGATAATTTGCATAAAATATTTTTATCATTTTTCTTATCTAGCCTTAAAATTAATTTTATATAAATAATTCCTACATTCATGACAAAGTGAGTTAATTATACATTATTTATTATAAAACAGTTCAATCAAAATGGCAACTAAGCCTCAGATGTAATAAATATAAATTTATATCAAGCTAATTTATTTATGGCATTTAAATGCTGAGATTCGGTGAGATTTATTTGAAACTAGATAACCGTTAAATTTAAGTAATTCATTTCAATGTGTTCAATATGCTCATAAAATTTATTAACAAATTAAATAAGTAATTACAGTTAAATATATATCTTATACAATTTAGATTCGTTAAATATTTTAAATAATTATAATTATAGAGACTTATTTAATTTATTTATTTAAATGTTTTTAAAGCAATAATATGCACTCATATTCAGCTATATTCAGAATATATTATACAGAATACACAGAATATATAACACTTCAATCCATATGTAAGTAAATATAATACAATAACTAAAGTAATTTTTATTACATTTAATGAGAGGGAACACCATTACGGGCAGTATAGTCGGCCAAAACACAACACTATTCCTTTTTATTAGTCTATACAATGTCTACTATCCCTATGTGATGGTAAACATACCCAATATTTAAAAAATATTTCACATTCTGTATATAATATTGAATAATATTAATTATATCTTATTTATAAATTATTTATTGCTGCTAAATTTTATTGATTATTTGCAATACCAATGTTATTGATTAATAATAAATAATGTATTTTATAAATAATTATAATTACAACTTATTTACTTAACTGTTAAACAAAAAATATTTTGTAACTTATTTAATCATTTTATTTATAATATCCAATTTTTTAATATAGTACAATTATTATTGTATTATATATAACATATGGTGAATGATTATTAAATAATTTTTTTATACTCACGAGTTAGCATGCAGTATTTATTTATATACAGTACTGTACTTCACAAAAAATAAAAGCACATTTACAAAATAGCGGACATCCATTGTTAGATAAGAGGTTTTGATAAACATTATTAAATTAATATAAAATTTTTAAAAACGATTTGAAGGGTAATTTTACTTATGTATTGACATTTCCAAAGCCATCGTAAATAAAACTTAATATTAGCACGTAATTATAACACCAGGCGCACAGGTACTGATAAAAATAGTAATTATTCATCGGGAACAGCCTGTGACAAGAAAATCCAATCGTGGCCACCATTTGATCCTGGTCGCATGACAATCTCTCAATGAATGCTAAAATTGTTAGCCGGGCACTATTAGTGAGTGTATTTAACTCCATGAGCGGGTATAGACGGGTGACCTGCCTATGGGCCTGGGATGTGACCGACGCGCACAATAGGTTGGCAGTGAATATGAGGGCTAAACAGGTCAGGGAAATCAGGGCCGACGCAACACGGGTCAGAGGTTTAGTGTCGGGTGCGTGGGCTATGTATATCAATATATACTCGGGTAGTTGGCACCCGGCGTATATTATAAGGACAAAGTAGTTGATAACCTTATTTAGTTTACTGGCTATTACAGCACAGGTATTGTGGCGTATGTATAGCCGTGTTAGGAGTGGTATGTCCCTGAGCTTAATAGCCATGTCTATGTAGTCGTTTAGCTGTCTGAATTGGTAGCGCAGGTATGTCAGGGATAGGAACCAGAATTTAAACAAGGACAGTGCAACGGCCCAGTAGTCTATGATAGCTACCAGCGATACCGGCGTCCAGAAAGCGATACTCCATACGGAATATTCTGTGTCCGGATTCATGATATAGTCTATTATGGGAGGGGAACAGAATAATAGCATAGAGTTCAGGGACAGTTGCGCTAATAATGGCCATGAAAAGTGCTTGCTAATAAAATTCATTTGCTGGTAGAATTTATAACGGTACCTATCATTCAGTAAATTATCAATCACTTGATTCTGAATATCGCACAAGTAATGGATTGGTGTGAATGTATGGGTCACATCCAGG